AGCTGACATTGTTAAACCGTTTTGTTCAGATAAAACAAGGAGCTATAATGTGTATTTTAGAAGTGCTGGTAGGCAGATTTTTTCCCCTTTGGACAGAGCAAAGCTAGCTGTTTCTACCGTTTCCAGTCTTGTGCCAATGTAATCGGCTGCTCGGGTAACTTTACATTTACCATACAAACTTTACAGTGGTAGCAATCACCTATACCACATAAGGCTAATTCCCAAAATGTAGAACTATTCTTTGATGTACACATTTGAAGTACTTTTCTTGGGTATTCCCATTTTATGCTACTTCACACTTCCACTCCACTTGAGTTCAGGAAGAAATACTTTACTTTTTACTTCACAGCATTTATCTGGCTAATATAGTGGTCACTATTTACTTTGCAAATTACAATTTTACATGCAAAACATGTTATCATCTTCGTTTGATTAGCTAACAGTATATAAAAACGTATATATTAATACATGAATAATAATTCAGTAATATAATGGTTAGGCCTCATAGTTGACTGCTCACAGGAAGAATTTCTGCATTGAGTGCTGTCATGTTTGATATTTTAAGTATATTTTTCTGATTAAACTTCTTTTACTGAAGTAACATTTAGTTTACATGTAATAGAGTATTTTTACATTGTGGTATTGCTGCTTTTGATTAAGTAGCAGATCTGAATACTTCCTCCACCGCTGTGCTTCAGTCCCTCGGCCTCTCTGTGACATAAAAAAGCCTGCAGACATCCAGGCTGAAGCAGTAAACATAATAATCACAGAATCCATCACATCTCACATCGATACACATGGCTGGCTGAGAGGATAGTGAAAGGGAGGAAAGCTTGAAAGACTAAAATACACAAAAACACCGGGATACTGGGAGTAAAAAGCGCTTCGGGAAGGTAGATAAAAGTAGGTGAGAGAGATTGTGTGAGGTAGGAAGAGAGAAAATATAAGAAGGGAAAAATAGGCAGCTCAGTCTTGGAGTTTGTCTAGGGGGCCCCAGAGGTCTTCTACCTCATATATCCTCAGCACATATTTAATCCAGTGAGAGGACATGCCCGGCGAGAGTTACAGGATACACGCTTATTACTCACCTATCCACCTCTGAATGTGCTGCTGCACCCCACAACCCCCGTCCCCCCCAACTCTACTCCCACAGCCTGTCCTCCATCCAGACTGCAGGCGCTACAGGCTATCAGAGAATCGGGGCAGGAATGTGACTCCTGACAGACACATCTCTCAGGACCACAGACTGAATATGTTCCCAATTAGCTACATCTGATAAAGTGTGAGTGCAAGTGAAACCCAAGGCGGGCATGATCAATAGCTCTTGACTCATATTGTCAGATGGGTTTGACATTGACAGCCCGCGCTGTGATTAATCACTGTGGTGCTGCAGATAATTGTCCGACCACATCTTCCTTTGTAGGTGTCGTTGAACTCTCACTGTCATGTCTGTAGTGCTTTGAATATGGCTCGTCAATTTCAATTCAGTTCTAATTAATCTTTTCTCAAACTGGCATCCATACGAAAACCAGCTTTCCCTTAATCTGCCTGTCAGTTATTTTACAGACACACACACTCACACAGCCCTTTTTTTCCTAGTGTATTTCCCCAAGAACGTCTGCTTGGACCAGAACCGCCATCTGCTGTTGCACACTGCACATTGCAACAGAGTGGGTTCGAGGTGTGGTGGTTGTTTCAGTGGGGTGAGCTGTTTGATAAAAACAAGCTGCGAGCCGTTGCGGTTTCATCCCCAGAAAGTCTCCTTGGTTTCCATGTGCACAGCTGGATGTTTTTAGGTTTACCCGTACGGGACTGCTGTGACATGGGCACTGGAGATGAAACAGGCCTGCCTCGGCACACAAACACAGCACTACACTCCCGGCCTTGTGTACAGCTGGTAGGGATGACACAAGAGGCACAGGGCTTTATTGAGTCCTGCTGAGGCTGCTGTGCAAGTCAGGGCAGTGCTCTGGTAAAGCTCAGCCTGCAGGGCAACAGAGGAAAGCGGGCCGATGGAACGCAGGCCGCTTGGCCGATGCTGAGGGTCTCTGTAGGCCGGTGTGTTGTGTGTGAATGTTGTGAGATGAGACCTTGCCTCCCCTCAGCTCCACTCTCATTAAACTCTCTGAACTCTCTGTAGAAAGGGAGCAGCAGATAAAGAGTACAACACCCTCCTTTAACCCTAAAGTTCTCTTTGGGCTCCTGGAGACTTAAAAACAGCTCAAAAAAACATTCATGATATTTGTCAGGAGTCACATCTGTTTGAGGTTCAAGAGTCTACACCCTTTGAACTAAAGGCTGACACATGTAAGTTTAGCGTGTTGTCATGCTCAAATATACCGATTAGCAGTAAACACAAACTACAACTGAGGCTGATGGGAATGTAATTAGTTTTGCGGGTATTTGGTCGAAAACCAAAGTATTGGACAAATGAAAAGTTTCAGAGCTAAATGAAATACCAAAGATATCACAATTCATCCTGAAGGGGACATCAAATAAATGTCTGTACCAGATTTCATTGTAATCCATTCAATAGCTGACGAGGCATTTCACTCAAAACCACCATGGTGCCACTAGATGAAAAGTCTGGATTACCAGCGTCATTTATCCACTATTGAAGTTTTATAACAGTTTGTTCATAAGGTTCGGTTTCGGTTGAACGAGAGTTAACTGACCTCAAATAACATCACTGTTTAGGAAACTTTTCTTTGTTGTAAATGACTTCTTTAGCAAAAAAAGGGAATAAATATTTGCTTAGCCTTAATAACAATTTTTTTTGGTGTAATAACAATGCTTTATGGCCATTTCTGTATTTTACCAACTGCATCAAATGTGTAAGCCCAAATTGCGGCAAAGAGAAGGGTTACTACTTCTGTACATATTGGATTTTAATGCAGTCAGAAGAAAAGAAAAGAACATCTGAAGAAAAAAAAATCGGTTGGTTTTGCAATTATTTTTCACACACAGCTTTGAGGTTTGCGAGACCCCAAACACTGAGGAAGTAAAGCCAATGTCAACAAAACACAGGGGTTAACAGTCCTATGTCACCAGCATTGTTCCTGAGCTGCTGCCAATACCCTATTTCATATATCTAGTTAACATGTTATTTATCCGCACATATCTTAAGCCCCGTGTTCAATATGGAGTTGATTTGTTAAGACCACCGTGTAGTAGATTTTTTTCATTTGCAGCCATTCCTCAAGCATTGCTTAATGCCACACTGACGATTCTTCAATCTGCAGACCTCCAAATGAGCAAAGGCCCAGTATCCCTCTGTGTGCCTATACCGTATATTCCCATCTCTATTGTGGGAAAACTTGTTAGGCTCCTCATAAGTATCTCTTTCAGTAAAAGCGTCATCTCAGCCTGGGTGGGTTTTTAACTCTGTCTGTTCTCTCATTCTTCCTTCGTCTATGAATAAACTACTGTCAGGCCAGCTAAAGACATCATCCTGGAGCTTCTGTGCTCTGCCTTCTCCCTTTACCTTCCTCTCCCCTTTTTCTCTCTCCTTTGTCTTTGTTGCAAATTGTTTCCCGATTACGTTTTTCACCCACTTTTTAATGTCAGTTGAGGCTGCTTCTCTCTGTGGTCAGGCTCCTTCGTTCCCAACCTCACACGCAAGAGCAATTCATGGATTCAATTATTGATATTATGCCTGTAGAGATAACTGGGAATGGCAGGAGGTTGTGGGGTGGCACTGGAGGAGCACGCCTTGTGGCCAGTTCAGAGTGAGTTGACAGCTGGCAGACATGAAGAAGAGAGCACTGAAACACTGTGAAGGGGACCTGCTTTGAAGACAGACAGCAAGGATAAAAAGCCAGAGACAGCCCAAAACATCATGACTTCATTAACACCAATTTCTTCTGTTTCTCGCTCTAGGATTCATTCTCTGCCAGAACAGTTTATAATGTGAAAAAGCTTAATCCCATAATAGATTTGCAATAATCAGCTGTATAATATTCAGCAGCTCTTGCCCTGGTGAGAAACTCCTGATACCTGATTGAGTGGTTTTCACTGAATGGTTGGACTTAATAAATCTTTTAGTGACCTCTTGTGGCTAAAACAGGTATAAAGAATATATCTCTGAAAGGACTTTATCATAAGGATCTACTGTTATTCTCTTAAACAGACATTCACAATATATTCCTAATTACTCATAAACAGGACAACATCTAGAGGGGTGGCCCCAAAAAATGCCCTAATTTGGTATCAAATGCTGTCTGATTTAAGAAATTAATTGAGATTAATTAAAAAAAAATAGTGTTTTAAAAAGCAGAAATGTACACATATAATTGTGGCTTATTATGGGCACATTTTAGACTAGTTCAATGAAAAATGTGTTTGAAAAAATGTCTGAAGATTTGAAAACTATCTATTTCTTTAATGCCACCTTTTGATCGGCTATATCTTGTCAATGTTTTTCTAATATGCCACAATAATGTTAAATATATAAAAATATATATATATGAAATAATATAATATGGGAATGTTTGTGATTAAATCAGCCTGTATTTCTGCCACCATCTGGGCACACCATGAATTTTTCTCTAGATCCACCTTGCTCTGTATTTCATGTACACTAATTTTATGGAGTATATGCTGTGTGCTATGCTGTTTGTTGTAGTTCTGCAGTTAGTGAAGAAGAAATCAACATATTTTACTTTATAGTGACAGGAGATTATACAATTAAACTGCAACCTTTCAATACAACCACCAGTTAACAAAAGAAATGTAATAGTAATTTTTGTTTTTGTGTTCCTGGAGCTGTTTCACCACCATCCACAAATAGACATGAAAAGCTCCTCATTTCTGTTTTGCACTGTCCCTGAACAGCACACTCAAAACTCAGGGTTGTTTTAGTACTTCAACCCTGCTTAGACCTGATATGTAATGTGGATTTGGGACACAGCTTGTGTGTTATTGGTTGCCAAAATTATTACTTTGAATGCATGGATTTCAGGTTTCCTTGTAATTCCCAGGAAGACACTCACACCAAAAGATCAATGTTTCTCTAAATTGCAATTTATTTAATAAACTGACAAGTAAATATCCAAAAAGACTTGGGTGCATGTCCAGAGAGTTGTAACAGTTACAAAAGTCAGTAAAGTTAGTATTGCATGGGTTCCCTCGTCACTAGAGGGCGCCACCAGTTCAACCTGGCAATACAGTACAATCATTCTGATCAGGACTTTGCAAAATGGACATTGTATTCCATTCATAATATTAAAGTCAGGTAATGTCTTATTTTACAGGTCTGTAATTTCCTCCTCAAGTCTTAGTAATGTTATATTAGTCATATAGAAAACAGAAACAGCGTATAAGTCTTCAGTAAGTGCAGCAGGTAAGCTGAACATGCAATGGTGATTTTTGTCCACAGGCAAGCTTACTAATTAACATGTGGGGAATTAAGCTTTCAATAATGAATGAATAATATGAATATATTTACTTGCGTTTAAATTGAGCAATTCCTTATAATTATTACCAAATTACAAAGTTCTTCTTAGGAAATTACAGACCCATAAAATATAACGTACTGAAATCTTTATTGAACATTTCAGACCAGACTGAGGTGATGCAACAGTTTTTGACTACAAGAAACTTGAAAAAAGATTTTGTTTTTGTTCATTGCTGAAGTTCAAAAATCCCAGTGTGTATAACGAACAACTATTATTGCATTCTTAAGTATTTTCAGTGTTTAAGTATTTTTTGCTTTTAAGAACGAAGCTTTACATGATGAAAAGGTTTCTGTTCTTGCTGGTGCAATCTCCAGTCGTAGGAGCAGATGTAGCATTTGCTGTTATGTTAAAATGATTCCATGTAAATGTCAGAGGCATGATAAAGCCTGCACATGTTACCAATCGTCTGTTTATCAATGATTTATTCCCTTTAGAGCCGACGGGAAAAGGCAGGGTGACGCTCCTTCGTCTTGAGCAAGATATTCTGCTAAACCATGTTGTTGTTGACTTTGGTCCACTCAAAGATGTCCTGCTCACACACAATGTCTGAGTTGATGAGCAGGTAGCGGTCACCCACGCAGAAGTGCTTCTGGCAGGCGGCACATTTGAAGCACTCCAGATGGTACACCTTGTCGCGCACTCGCATCGTCATCTCAAACGCCCGAATCCTCTTCTCACAGGAAGCACAGAGACCGTCCTGACCGAAAAGCCTGAGTGGATGAGAACATAACAATATAATACTGAGAGGATGGAAAACATTCTGCCGTTTTTTGATTACATGGAACTTAAATTCCTCGAGTAGATGTAACTACCGTGGATCTTTTCCCCTGAACATGGCTGGATTTACTTGGATTGACACCCCAGAGTGGTATTGTGCATTGTGGATGTACCAACCAGGCCTTCTTTGCTGGAATATTATTTCTGAGGTCCAGTTTGTGGGAACTTCATTAAACACAACTTTATTTAGGACTAAATAAAATAGGCACAATATTAATTAAAATAATTAATATCTTTACATTTTGAGACAGAGCCCCTTTATAGGACAGGGACCCAGGATTAAGCTAAAATGCTTAATCCCTCTGTTGAAATTGAACTTTAGGTTTACCAAAACCCACTGAAATTCAGTATTCCAGCCTCTCCCTGACACATAAACAACATGTGCTCCCTGAATCCAACTCCAGCATAAACTGTTCCTGTGAATCCTCACTACTCATCTGCCATCTGAAGGAAAATCCACATTCAGGGCCAAATTGTTTCCCCATGTCCCTTTTAAGTATAAAATGCACTCTGCAAACAATCCACCATGTGAAAAGTGGTGTTTGTCAAAAATATGTGTGTGATTTTGAGTGTTTCCAACACTTCTTCAAAGGATAAGACTGGCAATAGTCCATATTTCTGTTTTTTTAAACAAACCCATGAAAAGACCAATAATTGATGTCTTAGTCCACCTCTCAATACTGTCTGACTTCTCTATCCTTTTTTACTTCAGCCCTGAGCTCATTTGCATTTCCAGGATGTCTTAGATAAGTATATATAGTTTAATTTAAAGGACCAGTGAGTAGGATTCAGTGGTGTCTAGCGATGAAGTTGCAGATTGCAATCATGTCCATAAAAAACACAAAAGGCCCAATCAAAAGTTTGGTTTTCTGTTCTGGGCCACTGTAGAAACATGGGGGTTCAACATGGCGGACTCCGTGGAAGAGGAACCGCTCCTTCTGTAGATAAAAACAGCTCATTCTAAGGTAATGAAAACACAATGATTCTGAATAATGAATATTATACATTATAATACTATATAATAGATCTTCCTAAATGTTACACACTGGACCTTTAAGAAAAGGATGAATCATCTCCTCAAACAGCTGTTTTACTCAAGCCAGTATAAACACCGCACTTGTTGGGGGATTTTCAGCTGCAGATGAACACATTTGGTGTGCTGGTGAGTATTTACAGCACCAGACCATTGTATGTGTGTCTGACGTAAAATGAACTATAGACATACAGTATATTTGTTGATCTTTTCATTCATTTTGATGACAATAGGACAAATATAGAATATCATTAGTCCTTTCCTTTAGTCTCTTTGACTCTGTTATGACACATGATTGTTAACCAGTAGGCTAGCTCGTGATTACACAAATAAACAAACATGACTAAATCATGATGTTATGACATGCACCAACCTGAGGTAATCTCTCCGACATAATTTTCTTCCCAGCTTGTAATAGAGCCGGCGGCCCACCTCCCCGAGTCGGCAGCCACACAAGTCGCAGCTCAGGCAATCCTCGTGCCAGTACTGCTCGATGGCCTTTAGGAAGAATCTGTCACCGATGCTCTGCTGACACCCACCACATGTGAGCAGAGATGGTGGCATCTGAAGGACCTCGTCCACCGGCTCCCTAGACGACAAACAAGACTGGTTAGATGATCAAATAGTCATGGTGCGTCATGTGATTCTTACTCATTTGGTCAATAAAAATACAAATGGTGAAAAATGCATAGCACAATTTCCTGAAGCCCAAAGTGACGTCTTCATATTGCTCATTTTGTCAAACACTTACAAACCCAAAGGTTTTCAGTTTCCTGTCATGTAAAAGAAAAACAGCAGCTCCTTACTGAGAAGCAGAAACTGGGGAATTTTGGCAATCATGCTTAAAACATGTAATTACTTAATTTCTACTTAAATTATTAATGGATTATTAAAAAAGATGCAGATTACTTTTCTGTCTAATCAACTAATTTATTATTCAACTAATTGTTTCAGCTCTAAAATGTTCATTTAATTACCTTGTTATCTATAAAATTACTGAAAAACGTTTGTCCGGATTTTTTAAAACAACAGAGCATAAAGCTCAGACTACATAAATGATCTCGCACTGCCCCTTTGTTGGTCCTCTGATATTTATGTCTATCTTGAGTTACTTGCACAATTGCAATGTGATGCTGTCCACTTGAGGGAGCCATTTGATATTGTTAAATAGAGAATACTGGAACCACAAAACAAATGCTAGTTTATTAACACCTTTTATTTCCCCTAAGGAGACTTTAAGGCTGTTTAAATCATCTTATTCCACACTGTCTGTCACCAGCCTGTATAATCTGTATCCAACTCTTCACTGAAACTATATGAAGCTTAGTGAACACAGAAAAATACCTTCATGTTTTTGTATGGCTACACTATTCATCAAATTTAAATATAATAACTATAATGTAAGTCCTCTTATACACATTTCCCCAAAGTCAGCCCACCAAACTGTAAGATATATACGGTTTTGAATAATGATTGGCTTGAGTTCTTCTTCTTTTAGGGGCTAAAAGGTCTACATATCAATCTATATATCTATCTATCTATAAATGTGTATTCTTATATATCTCACCTTTTGGACACTCCACTTGTTCTGGAAAAACACACCACTTTTTCTTTCCAAGAGCTATTTTTACTACCTCTTTACACACACATAACAATCTGCTGTTGGACATGGACTTGATTATTTTTTCTTGCCTAACAGCAGGGCACTCCTGACCTCATGCTATCAGCCATCTGCAGTTACAGCACGTCAGATAGTTTGGCTGTCACAGTAATGATGCGTCCATGAAGGTCTTTTTTCCCCCAGAAATATATCAGAAAATATTATTAATGAAATATTATTTATGCCAGTGTATGCCAAAACTACTTACTCGTTGGCTTCCAGCGTCTTCCTCTCTATAGTGGATGTCATTTCTGACTTATGATGTCCAGCCTGATCCAGATGAGTCCACAGCCGGCTACCTGTGAAGCCTGCGGGCAGACTGAAGCGAAGACGCGCTGCACCTGCTCCCACAGCCTCCGTTACACCCCGGGTTAGGCTGTTTTGAATTAACAAGCAACTGAGTCCCGTGGAAATGGCCGCAAGACAAGAAAATTTCGCTCTAAGCAGCTAAGCAATGATGGAGGACACTGTCATCATTTCCTGAGCCAATAACCCGCGGTGACACTTCCATGTCATCTCAAGTATATTTAATCATCCTGCAGCGACTTTGAGTTGAACAGTCCCGTTATTTAAAAATTTTAAAAAACACCACAAATCCGGTCAAAAGATCACTTGCGTGGATCTCCGTGTGCGTGCGTCTTTTCCAGTGAGCGGGCTGCAGACGCGCTCCTCCCCGTGAAGCCTCCGTTACTGTGCGGCAGCAGCATCGTGTTTAAATACGTCGGGCCCCCCTCGGTCTGTGCTTTCGTTTCCCTCTTCCTGCTCACGACTGTTTGACAATGGGGGGAAATCGGTCTTAAAGAGACAGCTAAACACTGCGCAGGCTGCTCTGTCAGGCGTGGAGTTAGGTCGTGACTAATGAGTTCATTACATGCTTTGCTTCACCAAAGTGCTGGTAGGACAAAAGATAAAGAGCGGCATGATATAATTAGTACAGTCCTTGTGTATTCTCTCGGTCATTAGACTGTGTCTCATTACTTCCCTTACGAAAAAAAGGATCTATGAAATATGTTAAACAACAGACAACTTAAATAGGCTACAGAGTTTTTGGTACCATTTTCTAGTAAGGAACCCTTCATTTGTAAGTGGTAACTACCTTATTAATGGTTAATAAATCCTTTACTAATGTTTTATTGATCGGTTATTGGCACAACATTTGGGTTGATAAGTTATGAAACAGTTATTAACAGTGGTGGAAAGTAGGCCCAACTATTAGCCTACAAAGACCTAGTGTTCTTGTACTTGTCGTGAGTATTTGCCACTTTAAACTTCAAGGCCAGGACATTTCAGATGGAAACATTGTGTTTTTGTTATACATTTATTTAACAGATTATGTTACCAGTTACTTTTATTTTACATCTCATTAATAAAGGGCAATGTGTGTCTCATGAGCCTTTAAATATGTGGTTGTAAACGTTAATAAGGGTCACACTTAAAATGAATAAGTAAGTCATCTGTAATAATAAATGTTATAAGGTACTATTAATAAAGGGTTTTACAACAGTCTTAAATAATATCTCAATAAATGGATTTTGGTCCAAAGGAGCTGCAGCACTTTTTCAGAAGGTTAGCAGTCAAATGGTTAGTTTACAGGATGAACTAAAGAGCTTAAAAAGACAAAACAAGTGTCCTGCTGGAGAAAAACAACACAGCCGGTGAGATCTTTCACAACATGGGAGCCCCAAAAGTTGTTCTTTCTAATGGTTTAAAACTGAACTGATGTATTGACATTGATAAAACATTATAGACTCTCTATAAAGGGTGCCTTAGGAAATGGCAACAAACTAGTTTTAAACTTATACATTCAAAACATTTTTGTATTAAACGTGACCAGTTCTGTGTTTAATACAATATCGTATTGCATGGGGATTCAGTATCCTTAAGGTGCTCTTAATTGAAGATGACAGAAACTGGTCACAGAAAACAAAAACGTTCTTTAGACAAACATGGAGAGAAGTTATACTAAAATCGTCTGTGTACTCTGTGTTTAATACACTGACCTCATCAGGGCAGAAATAGTACAAGTAGATGTATGATCACACCTGTTTCTCTATATAAACAATACACCAGAAATAAATATTACATCACATAAAAGAATCATATATCATAAAATATAATGAAATGATGAGCAGGTATAGACAACAGCTATTACACAGTGTGATGTATTACTTAAGAGGATTGTTTAAGAAAAGGGTTTTTATCTATTTCTTTATTCAGACCTGGATATGCTGAACTTTATCACCTAAATATAGAAATTAAAGCTACTCATTATTCACAATACTTTTTGATATCATCTATATTATAGGATTATTACTTATTCCTGAACATGTTAGAGGCCTTCCTACCTGGTAGGGACGGGGTTCATTTGAACTACTTTACTGTATTGTTTTGTAGTTTAGCTTTAACATAAACTGATCATATTGTATGTCAAATCTTAATCTGCCATTTTTTGCTACAGCTTTCATATAAGGGCAGTGAAGTAAAATATTTCACTCTGAGATGTAGTTGAGTAGAAAAAGTAAAGGAAAATATATTAAGTACAGTACAGGTAGCTCATATGAGAGTAAAGTTACTTTCCACCATTATTGCCTTAAGATAAAATATAAATATTAGGTCAACATACAAAGATACACATGTTTCAATATATATATATGCATGTTTATATCTTTAAAAAGCTCTTGGATTACAACCTATTACCTACTAACTAGAACAGAGAAGATGCTAAAAAAATAAGATCTTTTGAAAGTTGTCTCTGTGATAAATGAATGCAATGCTATTTCTACATAGTTTGTGTCCTCACAGCCTTTTCTTTTCAAACCAGAGCCGCTGCGGACCCTTCTTCTTATCTGCTGCCAATGCCTCGGGGCTGCCTGCAGGAGGGAGGGACACAGACAGCAGTTGGACTGGGCAGGAAGATAAAGCACCTTGACTCCAGAAGCCACAGTCAGCTCCTCACAGCCAGATGCAACGGAGGAAGATCGCAGGCAAACTCTAAATTCAGGCTGAAAGCATCCCTGGGCTAGACATTTGTTGGACTGTGTAGGCTCACTGGATAGATACCAAGCTGAGAAGGCCCAGGAGCAAGGTGAGCATGGCACTATGTTGTGCCAGCTGCACAGAAAGCAGAGCAGCTTGACAGAGATAAAACTCTAACTACATATCCTGCGAATGAAAAACATTTTTGGGGCAAGATTTTCGCCTACTGTCTTTGCGCACAACACAACAGAACAGTGCGAGGGCTGCGGTGGCTTTCTTTGTCTTGAATTTGAACATGTTGGCTTAAAATGGAAATGTGAAACTTTTCCTGACACGTTCCATCTGCTGAGACAGATAGTGTGATACAGTTGAAAGCCACAGTTTTTGTAAAAAGCTTCCAAGATCAATAAACTTTCAATCTCAATGTCCCTAAAGTAGAAGAAAAAATTTAAATATCAACAATCTGATTACATCACATAGGCCTACTGTACTCTGCTTCTGCTTATTCCAGCAATCCATTCAACGTATATTATAATTCATCTTTCAACATATTTAATCCCAACATTATAATTGACATGTCAGGCACATGCAGTGTAGAATTCCTGGCACCTCAGTTGGAAATAGAAATAAAGTCATCTGGGTTGGCACAACAGTCTTTGTAATGATGAACCCAACTGATGCTCTGTGGGGTTTCAAAAGCTCAATCGAGTTATTGGCATAAGAGCTCAACCCTCCAAAATGTCACGTTGCACAAAGGCAAAGCTCAAGAACAAATGTAGGAAAGATGTGAAACAACAGAAGAGAAAGTCAGTACTGATGTGACACCCAAGTCATCCACTACTTCCTGTGGAGTTGATTGAGAAAACCCAGAGGATGTGCAACTGGCATGCGGAGATGAAGCTTTTCTGGGGGGGTTGGTGCACACTGCATTCACTTCCTACCCCCCACCCCCATGCATGATGGCACCCCACTCATGGCTTCCCAGATAGACAGCTCGACTACCAGATGGTTCGGTATGATAGGAGTAACAAGGCTTACAGCGCACCATCAAAACTCTAGCATGTTGGCATTAGGTGGTAAAACCCTTATCTGTGTCTTTAGGCTTCCTAAATGTCACCAGAAGGGAGGTACAAGCTTCATGTCTTAATTTGAAATGTTGAATTGTTGACATTATGTAATGGACCTTTCTTTCCACTTTTATTCCTGTCTTAGGTAGAATTTGGGGAGCAAACAGTTAAGAATGCAGACAACCTTTTGGGAAGTGGTGTCACTTGTGTGCAGCTTCCTGTTTTGCCTGTTTGGTACTGAGAGCATTATGGAGTTGAAAGCAGTGTGGAATTTGAGGGCAGCTGGAAAATGAGCGTCAGCACGAAGCAAACAGTAAAATTATACTAAACAACTCCTGGTCCTTTCTCTCATCATTCAGCAAATAATTTGAATGTATTACACGTTACAAGTTCCTCTGCTGTAGTAAAGTATAGCAAGGCTGTTGCAGGATATACAATTAATATCCTTCCATCTTGCTAAACTATTACAGATTTCCTGTTAAATAGATCTCCTAATTAGAAGTGGAACAAAGATGGTTATCCATACATCGTGGACTGTCTGGATGCAGGCTTGCAGGCCCATTTCCTGAAATAAGAGGACTCTGGACGTATTGTTGACTCTTTGATAGCACAAACTCTGAAACAGCAATAGCAAAACCGACCACTTCCTGCCTAATCTGAAGTGATAATTAGCTCCCGTCTCATAGCCCTTCTCCTGAACTGCCACAGGTCTACAAAGGTGGAAATGTGTTATTGTTCACTGTAACCACACAGGGTTAAATGAGAGAGTGTGATTCGTTGTCAGTTTTATAATGTCAAGGTCTAAAGGTCAGAGGTCAGATGAGGAACCACCCTGAAATTCCTTCATAAAATGGCTGGCGAACTGTGTTCACTGTTGTTGTTTGATTGAAATACAGCAGGCTGCGGAAATGAGTCACTCGTTGAAAGGGAGCTTCACTTACCCTCGGGAACCTCCCATAATCAGTATTATCCCTAAAAGAAAACACTTTCAGTGGAACAGTGCAATCAAAAAGCCGTGCAGCCATGTTAACTGCTTCCTGTATTTGGCAAAACAAAAGAAAGCAGGTTTCCCATTATTCTGGTCAGTTTGGTCTCATTCAAAGACAGACTTCAAGTATGTGTTAGTAAAAACAGAAAAATATATTAGCACTCTCAAAGATATTGGAAAAGTTAGATAGTCAAAGATGTGTTCAATTGTTTTGAGTTGGGAACTTTTTCAGCAGTTATTCTGTACGTGTATAAGATAAGATAAGATATTCCTTATACATGAATATGAACTGTGTGTGTAGATTTAGTCTTATAATAGTTCGTTTGTCAGTGAGTTAATTAAGAATTGAGAGTAGGTCAGAGGATTTACATAAGCTGGACTTTCTCACCAGCCACAGTTTTCCTTTGTCAGTGTTTTGTTGATCATAAAGCTGAGCATTACTGCCACCTACTGATGGAAGTAACAAAAACTATTTTGTCCCCTGGAACTAGTTTTGTTCTTGCGTACTGTATCACTGAGACTTTCCATTTACCAAAGTGCTTGCTATGATATAAATATTTAACTAATTCCCAATATGGGAAACATTGGAATTGCATCTTTGAATTACTTTTTTCTTGTATGAAACATGTACTGTAGAGTTTGTCAACCTGTGAGTCAGGAGATGTAGATGGATTTGTGCTTGTTAAAGTGGCAGATTTAATATGTTTTAAAAGCGAACATCATGATTTCTATTAAAAATTATTGGAGCTGACCTACCTACTCATATATTAGGCC